GATCTGGCCGTTCCCATAGTTGCCGCCGCCGCCGCCGCCGCCGCCGTTGCCGCCGCTGCCGCCGTATTTGCGCTTGACGGGCGTGCTCATGTGGCTTTGGGGCGAGGGGAGAGGTGGAGCGACCGAGCGGGGCGTGTGGGCAAGGTGCGGACAGTTGGGGGAGGGGAACCATACGAGCAGTGCACGGCGGTTAGGCCAAGCGAAGGTTTGAATCCCTCCCCATGACGCTACATGAGCCAGCCAGTTATTATTGCAACACCAGCCAGCGATTGGCCTACATCAACGCTTGCGCCACGACCATCGCCGGCTGGCTGCTCCACGCAACAAGGCTCCTCTTCCCCCACGCGCAACGCACCAAGCCAATGCACAGAGACGTCACGCCCCGCCATCATGATACACGCCAACACTCGAGCGCGACACCCCTCACCTCTCGCTCCTGCTGCTGGTGGCCTTGGGGGAGAAGCCCATAAGGTTGCGTGGGCTGTTGCCAAAGCTGTCCGCATCGCTGTTGGGGTAGCGGCTGCCGCCGCGGAAGAAGCGGCGCCAGGGGCTGGAGCTATCGCTGCCCATCGCCGGGCTCTCGCTCTGCAGCTCGCCCGCCGCGCGGCCCTTGGGGGTCGCGACGCCGCTGCTGGACACGGGTGACCCGCCGCGGCCTCGCTCCAGGTCTGCAGAGGTGGACGGTCCCGCGGCCGCCTCGCGCGGCCGCGTCGCTATCGGCTTCAGGTTCGGACCTGGCGCCATAATGCCGCGCCGCTGGTGAGCGGGGGCGGGGGGCCGCCGGGGGGGTTGCGCGGCGCTGCCGCGCTTCCGGTCTGCGATTGGGGGCGCGAGGGGGTGCGGGGCCCATCGGGCGGATGCTGGCATGCGACTTAGTTGGCAGGTACACAGGGCCGGTGACGCCGCATAGGTATGTGCGGGTGACCGCGGATGAATTGACAAGGTCAGGCCCAGTGAACAAAGGATGTTGGTGCAGCGGCTGCGGGACGGCACAGTGATGCACGCCGGTTGGGCAGGCGCGCGGCGGCGCTGCGCAACATGGCAGGGGCTGCCAGATTGCAGGTCGGCCCAACTGCGTCGAGGACCACAGGCCACGCAACAGTAGCAATAGTTTCTGCACATGGACGTGCAGCGCTCCCGAATGGAGTCAGGAAGGCCCCCAACCGTGGCGTGGGGCCTGCGGTGCCCCCGCGCTGGCCTGCCAGCCGATCCCACAGCCCCTGACTGGGCGCGTTGTGTCTTCTATAATGCACAGGATCGAAGTCACCGGGTTCGCAGGGGCGCGGCCAGCTCGGGTGTCCCAACTGTTTCTCCCGCTGTGGTGCACTGCCAGAGCCAAGGCGTTGAGCACGCCCCTTCAGACGCTCCTCTCACCTGTGCGTCACGCACAGCCGGTATTGGCACCTGGTGCCGACGTGATTGGCCGCCCTGCAGCAGCCAGAGACCGCGGTGAGGCAAAGGGGAGCACTGCTCTTGCTACCCACAGCTCGGAGATGAGCTGGTTCGAGCCCGACAGGCCTTGATGTCGATAAGAATTATGCAACACCGTATTGAATCCCCGTGAACCAGTTTGTCTCCGATGGGCGGTCAGCTGAAAGAAGGTAGCCGTTGCTGTGGCCACAGCAGCGCCAGCCCGCGGCCTGATGAGCTCTCCCCGACCCTATGCAGCTCACCAGCCACAATCCAAGTCTATGTATGCGTTGCTCGCCTCCCCCAGCCGAGCAGTAGCTGCTGACCCAGGGTTCGACCCCGTCGTATATATGTGTATGCAGTGAGGTTTCACACTGATTCCAGATACGCGACTCTGAATACGGCTTCAGCGAGCCTGCTGCAACCTTATCTCTGATCTTGCATGGGCCATGTGGCTGGCACCGGCACCAGCACACTGCTGCGACCACGGCAGGGGAAGCGGGTGCGGCGAGAAGCCGCACCCATCCCAGATCCATGCAAGCCTAGATTATGCTGCCACCAATCTGACGGCACGGACCAGCATGGTCGCGGTGCCCTGCGTGCCACAAGGCAATGACTCGTCCTGACAGGTGATGGACTGCGTGTTGGTGCGCGCTTGATGCGGGCATTTATACAGGCAGCCGACTCCTCTCTGGAATTTTTCAGCCCTACCTTCCTTCGTCCTTAAAAAGACCTCACCCTACCCTGTTCCCTGAAGTCTACACCTGAATGCAGTCGTTGCACCCAAGCCGCCCGCCCCGACCTTGGCACACACAAGCCTCGACCCTGCCGAGCCCCTGTGCTCGCCTACCTGCAGAGCAGACCCTTCAAATTTTACTGCCACAACACGACACGCCGACATTGCAGTGTGTTGTGCGCAAAGACAGCGGAGGTAGACTGACGGTTTTTGACTGCGGGGTTGGACGTGCCGCGCACCATGACCGTGCTTTGCTAATCGCCCCTACACCACAGTGGTCCTTCAACCAACCCAGGATGTGTGTTGGCACCAGGGTGCTGTGGGTGCGCACACATGGCCGCCGCGCTTGCGAGACTGCAGTGGAACAGGGCAGTCTACAGTGGGACATTTCCGTCAAGTCATGGTAGCCCGCACGGCTCAAGGCATGGAGGGAGTGATGTGACAAGCGAGGCAATATGTGAAATTGTACTACACCTTGCCCCCACCTGTAGGATCAGCAGTGTTTTGCGGCCGCCCAATCTAGCTCGTCACCCTCGCGCTGCGCGCATGCGCCGAGCGAGTTACTGGGTGGCGATCCAGTCAGATGATCAGATCGTGAAAAGAGCTGAGGCACCTAGAAACCACAATCATTTGTCCATATTTCACCCCGCGTTTGCTGTGCTGGCCGCGTAGGCAGCGGCAGTCACCGCGCGTGAGTCGGCGAGTGCGAACCGAGAGGCGCTACGAGATGGAACCTAATACTGAAGAGGTCTCGCAGGGTGGCTACTACAACCCACGGTTAGCCAGGGAGAGGCTGCTGATGGGTCACATGGTGCCTTGGCATGTTGCGTTGGCACTGGCGCGCTCAAACTGCTCGTGCTGTTGCTGCTTTGCGGCACAGGCCAAGACCCGTCGTCCCAAGCCCAAGAATCCACGTGGAGGAGTACCGCAGCTTATCAGGATCGATCACGTGCGTCAGGGCTGCGAACGTGCTGACCTGACTGTACGGGCAGCCGCCACAGGGGGCACGTGAGCCATGTGATGCACATGGCAGCTGGCAAGAGTGCGATGTTGTCCAACCGCTCCTGCAAGCTGGCACCGCAATGCGGCGCTGCTTGAATCACTCGCCGGCCTGACGCACAGCACCCCGCCGGCGCCCCCTTCCCCACGCCTCCCCGCCGCGCCCCTGCACCCGTCCCCGGCCGCTGCAGGGCGCGAGCGCGCGTGCTCCTGGGGACCGAGGGGGCCACCAGCCTGTCCTCCGTCTCCACCCTCTGCAACACCGCCCTGGGTGCAGGGGTGCTGGGGCTGCCCTACGCCTTCGCGCGCGCAGGTGGGCGCAACGCGCCCTGCGGCGCAGCCGCGGAGCCGCCGGCCTTCTCTAACCCACCCCGCTATATTCCCTGCACCTACTTAGGGCTGCACGCCTGCACCCACCGCAACATCAAAGAAAAGCCGCTCCCTCCAACCCGCGACAAGCCCGCGGCCAGTACGCCTTGACCCCGCAGCTGCAGCGGCACGCCGCGGCCCGCACACGAGCGCCCACGCCCCGGCCCCGCGGCTCCACATGCCGACATGCGCCCTGTTCCGCCTCGCCCCGCAGGCTTGGTCGGCTGCCTGCTGCTGTCGCTGTCCGTGGCGGCCCTGGAGGCGTTCACCATGTACGTCCTCGCCAAGTTTGCGGAGCGGTACGACGCTCCATCGTACGGCACGCTCATCCGGCGCGCGTTGGGGCGCAAGACCGGCGGCGTGCTGTCTGGGGTGATGGTGCTCTACCTCTGGGGATCGAGCGTGGCATACCTGGTGGGCGGGGGGCGGCGCATACTGGCCTTGGAGGATGTGACAGGGGAGCGGTGTGCATGCATGTGTGTGTGTGCGTGCGTGTGCGTGTGTGTTGTGCGCCCTTGCGTCGTGTGGGGCTGCGTGCAGTCTTGCGATAGGGGCGCGCCGGGTGCCACGGCCGAGGCAACCGGGATGCCAAAATTGCGGAGCCTGCTCCTACAAGCAGGACGATCAAGGCACAGCCAATTGTCACGCCTTCGCGCACAGGGGCACATGCATGTGTGCAATATCTGCTCATGTGCTCACGCGCGCACACAAACAAGCACACAGAAACGCCACAAATACACACATACACACACACACACACACACACGCACACACACACACACACACACACACACACTCACTTTCATGCACACACACACACACATGCACCAGGTCGTCGTATCCGACACGTTCACCAGCCTCTCAACAATGCTGCTGGGACCGACCGCCTGGTGCTCCCACCGCGTGGCGCTGCTGGCGGCTTTTGGGCTGGTCCTGCTGCCCCTCTGCTTCCCGCGCAACCTCTCGGCCATGGGTGCGGCATCGGGCGGGTCACATGCGCGGCCTGCATACAGGGCTATATTACCCAGGCGGGCCCTGGCAGTGATGGCGACCGCGAGGAACAGGACTGCGGCCGCAGGCATGCCAACAACGAAGCGGCGGCTGCCTGATTGCGATGACGCGCGGCACGGCAATGCCTGCGGTGCCCCCGCGTGGCCCCTCCTTTGCAGAGTACGTCAGCGCGGCGTCGGTTGTGGCTTTCCTGTACTGCTGTGTCGCGGTGTCCGTCAGGGGGTTCCAGGTGAGGCGGTTTTCGTTCGCCGCTTCAACTGCTGTGCCGCGTGTACGATGCTGGTCGCACCCTGAAACGGGGAGGACGGCGGCGGCCAAGCCGCGCCGCCACCTCAAGCCCGGAGCTCCTCGGATCCCGCCACCCAGGGGACGACGCCACAGCAGGGTGCCCCTTCCCCCCCGCCGTCCCCCTCGCCATGCGCCCGCCTCTTACGCTCCTGCATCGGCCCAACCGCCCCTGCGCACCGCCCTGCCCCTCCTTGCGCGCGCGACCAGGCCGTCGCGGCCCGGCCTGACCCCTGGGCGGGCATCTCATTAATAAAGCTGGACGCCGGGGCGCTCTACGCGCTGCCGCTCGTCATATTCGGTTACAACTGCCACGCCAACGTGGTGTCTGTCTTTGTGGAGCTGGAGCACCGCCCCAGCCGCCTCATCCCCGGGCTTCCGGCCAGGTGCGAAATTTGAAGGGCTGGCGCTTGGCCCGCTGCAGCGGCTGTCCGTGGCGGGGTCCAGGGGGCCTTTTGGGCTAGATTACGAGCTCGCAAGCAAAAGCCAGGGGGCATTCGCACGGCCTGAGGCATACGGGTCTGTGCTGTTGGTTGCACCCAGCCGTTTTGGGGCAGGGGGCGCATCGAATGCCCATGCCCAGAGCGTGGGCTGCGCCGGGCTGGCCATCCCGCACCCCTGCCCTCTCCTCGTTCATGGCGCCAGGGTGCTGTCACAAAATACCTCAAGGCATCAGCCGCGCGCCTGTGCCCCCGTCCCTCTGGCTTCCGCAGCCCTCGGGAGTATTATGACTTGGGGCGCCTCGCCCCCAAGCCCTCCACCTACAAGCTCATCGGGATGCTTGGCGCCAGTGAGCCCACGCACACGCCCGCCGTAGCGCCCGCCTGCCCGCGTTCCGGCCTCCCTGCTTCGGGCCGCGCCCTCAGATGTTGATAGAGCGCCGCGTGCGCCCGCTGGACGGGCCTCGCACACGGCCACGCTTTGTCGGCACACAGTGTGTGCCGACACACAGGCCGCCCCCCCTCCCCGCGCCTATCTGCATCCCTCAGTCATCGTGTACATGCTCATCATCTTCCTGGGCTACTCATCGGTCGGCATATCAGGTGGACCCTCCTAACGGGCTCGACCCCACTCGCACGGCCCCCGGCGGCGGCGTGTGCGCGCGGCCCTCTGGCGCCCATTGATGATGCTTCCCGCTGACTTTGCGGGCGGGCCGCGCCTTCCAACGGCGTCCTGCCCTGCAGTCTGGGCCTCGATTGTTGTGAAAAACGTTCCCATCTCCCTACTCTGAACATTCACCTTCCCCCTTGGCACCACTTTCCCCTTGGCACTCGCGCCCGCCCACCGTCCAAAGGTTACCTGGCCTACCCGACCTCCGTCAGTTCAAACGTCCTCAACTCCTTCCCGGCCGGGGACGTAGCCATGCAGGCGCGCATCACAGCACGTACTAGCGGCTGAGGGGACACCTCCAGCGCGCTGCGTTGCCGGGCAGTCGCGCCTTGACAGCCTCGCCGCCTCTGTCGCAGCGTTGTGTGTCAGCGCCGCAAATTGCAAGCGCCGAGGGCGCAGCGCTGCCTTTGTTGCCGCACCGCCGCCTGGTGGCCCATGCACTCGCGTGGGGAGCGCGGGGAGAAGGAGCGGCCGGGCAAGCTAGGTCCGAGATCTTTTTGGCCACGTCGCCCCGTGCCCCGCGGTCGCAAACGTCTCCTGCGCCGCAGATAGCGCGGGCAGCGATCGGGTGCGTCTGTGTCGGCTCATACCCCTTGAACCACCACCCCGCCCGGGCGGCCTGGGAGGTGAGCCGCCCTGCCCTGCTGCGGTGCAGTGGTGCAGGCGCCCTGGTGCGCGCGCTGCTGTGCGCCCCCAGGGGCCTTGGCATGGCGACCGTGCGCCTCTCCCGCAGCACGCCAAGACGCCTGTGAAACTTGTATGCCAGCCAGCTCGGATAAGCCCCTGTCTCACCAGTGTCGCCAGGCACTCACGAAGACACATGCACGCATGTACGCACGTGTGCACACCCACAACCGAGCTCACATCACAAACATACATACATACACGCCCGCCTGCCCGCACAGGACTTGTTCGACGCCCTGGCGGACGTGCGGCAGCTGCCCAAGTGGCTGTCCGTCTCCCTGACCACGCTGTTTGTCGCCTCGACGGTCGGCACGGCGATGCTGGTCACCGACCTGGGCAGCGTATTGCATATCGTCGGCGGCACAGCCGCCGCGTTCATGGTGCGCGGTAGTGCTGAGTTACGCGTGTGCGGGGATGCGGGAGCGCGGGGGGCATGCGTGTGTGCTGGGGCGCGGGTGTAGAGGGGGCACAAGTACGGACAGACGAGCGCGGACGCCAGCGGCGCCGCTCTCTGCGACGAGGCCGAGCAGCTGCCGCGCCCGGTGACGTCACGCCCTTGTCAATCCCCGCTCGCCCTGGGCTGCCCCCGAAAAGGTGTTCATGCTGCCGGGGCTGCTCCTGATGAATGCCGCAATCATCAAGCACACGACCACCAGCGGCCCGGCGGTGGGCAGCGGCTTGTCAGATCTCGCGGTGAGCCGTGCGTCGCGCTTCCACTGCGCGGAATGGCGACACACTCGGGGACGTCAGGCTGAGCAGCCGGCGCTTGGGTGGAAGTGCTTTTGATGCAGGGATCTGGGTGCTCCTAGACTGCAGCTGCCGCGCTGTTGCGGCTCGCTTCAACTGAATTTTGCATTAAATCGCCTGCATTCCACGGCGGCCAATCTTCATCAATCCCCACCGACCCCTTGCTTGCACTTTTCGCTTCAGGACGTTGAGGAAGATGGGGAGTTGGGCGACGACAGCAGCGGCAGCGGCGCCGACCGGCAGCAGCACCAACAGCAGCAGCAGCAGCGGCAACGGGGTGCTGCAGCGGCGGAGGACTCCTCGGCGCCGCTGCTGGACACCGTCTCACTCAGCAAAAAGGCGGGCTTCAGGGACGCGGGCTTCATCTTTGCGCCCCGCAAGGGCTGGTGGGCGGGGCTGGGCTTGGTGGCGGTGAGCCTGGCCGTGATGACCATCACAGTGCTGACCACAGAGTAGCGACTTCGAAGCGAGCAAGGCTCCAGGTCTCAAACATGCCTCAGAAGGGAGTTGAGGATCCCTATCCCGAGATTCTGTTGTGTGGCTGCGACAACCTGCGCCCCAGCGCCCCCACGCCGCCTGCCCCTGCAGGCCGTGCCTTTTGTTGCGCCCCGCGTGGCTGCCCAGGGAGCACCAGTTTTTAATGAGTTTGGCTCCGCTGCCAAGCGGCATGCTCATGGTGCCGCCATACTGCATGCTGCGCGCATGCCGATCGCTAATTTGTTGTGCCGAGTGGTGGGGCGCGCGCTGCTGGCCCCACCTGAGATTCCTTTACTGTGCAATTGCCTCCTGTGACGGCATGCTGACTCTGATTATGGCCATATGATAATTCCGAAGATACCCGTCGACAGGATGAAATAGTTACATCCTATGACCCAGTCAAAGACAAGGAATCAATAGCTTCAGCAGCAAGAAGGGGTTTGCATTGCAGCGCCTCGTGGTGTGTGGTCATGAGCGCATTACAGCTGCACTCGTGCAGTCAGGCAAGATGCATGGGGTCAACTTGCGGGCGGTCTGGCACACCGTGGAGATTCCTGAGCAGGGGCGGGCGGCCACGCGCACGGAGCGTCGTGCGCTGCACAAGCGCCGCCTCAAAGCTGCCGCGTCGCGGCCTGCACGGCGTCGAGCAGCGCATTGGCGCGCGCCACCAGCCGCTTGCGCACCACCCTCAGCTCCGCGGCCGCGCCGCACGGGGTGGCGTCCAGATCCAGCAGGACGCGCGTCGCAAGCTCCTGGCACTCCAGGCACAGCTGCGGCGTCAACGCCGCCGTTGGCACCGCCACTGCGCTACTGCGGCCAGCAGCAGTCTGGCAGAGGAAGCGTTCGTTGATGCGCTCCAGCGCCAGGCGCGCGGCTATGAGGCGCCGGAGCGCACTGCGGTGGCGCGAGAGGCGCCAGCCGCGAAACGCGGTCTGGATGGTGGTCGCGGCCCGGGAACGCGATTCTGCCGCCGCCTTGGAGGGTGTTGAACACGTGGGGCTGCATCGAGTCTGGGTGGCTGGCTGCTGCTGCTGCTGCTCTTTCTGCTGCTGCTTATGTCGGTGCTGCTGATGACGCCGCCAGCAGTGATGTTGCTGCTGCTGGTGCTGCTGCTGCTGCTGCTGCTGCTGCTGCTGCTGCTGCTGCTGCTGCTGCTGGTGCTGCTGCTGAGACTCGTCTCCTGAAGGTGCGCCAGTGTCATCATCAGCGTAGTGGTCATGGTGGCGTGGTCTCCGGCGGTGGGAGGCCATGTGCTTGGCACGCCTGTGAGCAGTGGAGGTGGGCAAGAGGAGCGAGGCACAACAGGGTGAGTCAGCATTCGTCGCAGACAAGCGGGGTGCATCAGCAACCTCCCAATGGCCCTGATCCCTGCATGCTGTTTGCATACAACACCCGTGTGTACAACATCAGCATGCATGCATATGTGCATGCAGCTTTGGAGGCCCGGCATGCGCACCTCAGCTCATGTGCCGCACGAAGGTGGTCGAAGGGGCCCGTGCTTGCCGCCGCTCCCCGGCAAGAGCGCTGGAGAAAGGGACCCTGTTGCTCAAGTGTGTACAAGGGCATCCCCAACCCCCAGGGATCAAAGAACTGCCCGCTGCGGCTAAAGTTCAACATCCTTGCTTCGTGACTCGCTGGCTGGCCGTGCCTTTGTGTGAGTGTTGATGACGACTCAAAATGTATCAAGTGGTGTAGATGCGTCATTTCGAACACCTGAGCGCCGAAGTTATTTGTACGGGCGGTTCGAATGAAGCAGTTCTGCACGGAACCTCCTCTGATGCTTCCGGGCACACCTGGAAACCCCTGGCATGTCCATGAAGTTTTAGGGAGCAGGGGGCCAGCCACACCAATGACTAGATTGGGTACGCTGCAATACACTTTGTATACGGTAAGCGTGCGTTGCGGGTGGGCGCAACAAGGGCGCGCTCGTGGCACATGCCTCTTTGTCCGCAGTCCAGTGCGGGCCGAGACCGCCTCCTCCACACTCGCTGCTACTGCACCCCGCTTCAGCAATCGGTGCCAAACACACGGCAGGGGACCGACATGGGGGCCTCGCCAAGGAGCGCCCCCCTCAAGCTGAGGGCCTGAGGAAAAAGGGGTCCCTGATAACCACCCCCGCAGGCCGCTGGAGGCAACCGTCACGACGCCTGCCCATCCCGGGTCGCTCCCGCTTCGCATGCTCGTTGAAACGCAGTTTCATTACTCATTGTTTGGTCCGATCCCCACACCCAACGGAAACATCTCGTTTGCAGTGACAGCACAGGCGTGCAGCTCGCTCTCTGCCAAAAGGGAGGTTGGCATACTTAGATGCAAAACAGAATTTCAAAATTTCGGCGCGGGCGCTTAGGCCACGCGTGTCCGTACAGCAACACGCGGCCCGCCCTGACAATTGCACGGGCCCCTCCCACACACGACCGCCGCCGCCGCCGTTGCGACCAGCCCCGCTCGCTGCTCGTGCGTGCTGCGCCTTCGTGTGTGAGGGCGGAGCAACACCTGGACCAAGAAAGGTACCCCCGTGTGTAACAGCCCGACTGGGCCCATATGTGATGTGCTCGGCCGCAGCCCCACCACCGGACGCCCCATCGCGCAAAGGGGCCGGGGGGCCCCTTTAGAAACATGCCACCGCAGCAGCAGCTCGAGCGCGCCTGCGGCGGCCTGGCCTCCAAGACATTGCGAGCCGCCGGGACGCGCGCGCTAGCACAGTTTGCAGACCGTCCTCAAGCCCGGGACGCCCCGCCGGGCACCGCGCCAGCCCCCCGGCGCGCGATGGCGCCCTGCCATGCGCTCGCCCTGCGCCCGCTCTGCACGCGCCGCGAGCGTCTGAACGGTGCGTTCCTGGACGCGACCCCCTCCTCTCACACAGCGGCGCCAGTCTTGGCGGCCAGCTGCTCAGCGGAGAAGGCGACGGCGCCGCCGCTCGCGCCCGCCTGCTTGCGGCGTCGCGCCTCCACCATCGTCACGGCCATCTCCATGATCCCGCTCCTGCAAGGCGCGGCGCGGCGAACACTCAATGACAAATGCCGGCGCCGGAAGTTGAGCGGCTCGGCGCACGCGCGATCCACAGATCGACAAAGAGGAGCGAGCTCGGCATGCAAGGCGCGCTGCTCGCCCCATCTGCCCGCGGTCGCATGCACGCCAGCAGCTGCGGGGACGCCAGTTCTGGACATGTTCCGCGCGGCCTGGGCACGACACACGCAGTGCACCGAAGGTCGCCCTCTGCCTCCTCACACACAGAACAAGCAACCCTCCGTATCACCTCCCCGGCCCCGCCCACCTGCCCAGCCCCGGCGGCTGCACCGGCTTGTTGGTCCACCCCTCCCTGCTGGCCAGCAGCTTCTCCCACGCCTCGTCAGCGTCCACCGCCGCCTCGATCCGCCGCGCCTCTGCCTCGTCGAAGGCCCACGTGCCTGCCGCGGTGCGC